GAGAGAGAGAGAGAGAGAGAGAGAGAGAGAGACAGAGAGAGAGAGAGAGAGAGAGAGAGAGAGACAGACAGACAGAGAGAAAACTCATTGTGAAATCCATTGACGAGTCAAGAGATCACTCTGCTGGTGTGAACTAGTTACTGGAGTCCATCTCATTCCATGTTCCGTCCTTGGGTCTTCGATTAACCTGCGGTATAATGAACACTTTCTCTCCATCCTACGCTTTTTTCCCATGGTAATCCTTTGATCTTCGAAACAATGTGCGAAGTTGCTGTCATTTCAGCAGTTATTTAGGTATTCAATTTTTTAAAATGTATTTATTAATTTTTTAAAGAATTTTGATTGATTGATTTTTTAAAACTTTTTTATTTTTGTTAATTTGATTTATTTATTCACTGTATTATTATTATTATTATTATTATTATTTATTTATTTATCTATTTATTTATTTATTTATTTTTATTTTTTATTTTTTATTATTTTTATTTTTTTTTGGGGGGGGTTCTTCCACATATTATTCTCCATTTCAAAGTTTACAAGTGTATATTGATCTGAATGTGATACTGAACTGCCTGTTTCAACTGTCGGTTTAACAAAGCCGTGCTGCTGTACTGCAGTACTCTGACAAAACGCCTTATTCTGTTCTCTGCAGTTTTCAGAACTCAACGATTTTCGTGGCAGGCGCCTTGGGGTGATTTGCTCCTTCTTTCCCTTCAAACATCTATCATCCTTATCTCCCCCCCCCCCCCCTTTCTTTTTTGTGTTTGTTACTCTCTTGTAACACCTCTAATCTTCTGCACTTATATGACCTTATTGTGTTGCACGCGCCGTAAAACACTTACTAATACTAAACTTTCATCCTTATCTGGTTCTCCTGTTTGTGTATGTTCATCTCTAGCACAGTCTCTAATCTTTGGCACTTTACGACCTAAGTGTGATGCACGTGCCGTAAAACTCGTATAAAAACTAGACTTAGAGCCAAACCCCGTAACAAATCCCTCTCTG